GCCGGCCAGGTGAACCGACGGGGGTGAGATCCCCAACTCGGGGCCGGCCAGGTGAACCAACGGGGGTGAGGTCCCCAGCTCGGGGCCAGCCAGATGAACCGACGGGGGTGAGATCCCCAACTCGGGGCCGGCCAGGTGAACCAGCGGGGGTGAGATCCCCCAGCTCAGGGCCAGCCAGGTGAACCAATGGGGGTGAGATCCCCAACTCGGGGCCGGCCAGGTGAACCAATGGGGGTGAGATCCCCAACTCGGGGCCGGCCAGGTGAACCAACGGGGGTGAGGTCCCCAGCTCGGGGCCAGCCAGATGAACCGACGGGGGTGAGATCCCCAACTCGGGGCCAGCCAGGTGAACCAACGGGGGTGAGGTCCCCAGCTCAGGGCCAGCCAGGTGAACCGACAGGGATGAGGTCCCCAACTGGGGGCAGGCTGGACAGGTGTGTGGCGTGAGTTTCTGGGGGTCTAATGGATTAGATAAGAGCTGTAGTAAAAGAAAAAAAGAAAGACAGTTCCCCACACTGAGCCTTAAGGTGGCTCTGTGTAATTAAACAGTCACTTTGCTAAGGGTACATAAAAACTCTGTGAGCACAAAAGAAACAGTTACACCGTATGTAACAATTGATCTGGCTAATGTTCTAGAAGTTAAACTATGGAAGGAACGTGCATTTTCCCCAGAACATGTGCAGTGTATAGTGTAGAAGGGGTAAAAGAAACGCGAAAACATTACAAACTTGGTCTGGTGTATAAAAAGGGGAAACTGAGGCACAAACTCACTAATGGGGAAAGGTTTGGCATTAGTTCAGGAAACAGGGTTCAAAGTAGCCTGAGACAAGGCTCTGTTGGTGCTACCTCAGGTTACACACCTGGGCGCAGTCGCTGGACAAGAAGGGAGATCAGAGAAAGGTCAGGGTGCTGCTTTAAGGTTTTAAAGCAAAAGGCTTTCGCAGCTCCAGCCCTCCGCTTTCCCGAGGAATTACAACCTCTTGTTATTCGCTCGGCTGCCAGCAATACGGCCTTGGCTGCTTCGCTATTGCAAAATAATGAGCGGGAAAACTGGAGCCGGTAGCGTCTGAATCCAGGAAATCGCGGGGAGCTGAGATAAATGTTGACCCCTGTGAACGCGAATGTCCGGCAGCCGCCTGGGCAGTGCAAACTTTCGAGCCCCTCCCAGGGACAGCTCCCATCACGGACTCTGTGTGTGTGTGTGTGTGTGTGTGTGTGTGTGTGTGTGTGTGTGTGTGTGTGTGTGTGTGTGTGTGTGTGTGTGTAGTAACTAACTAT